CTACTTTTCATTTCGTTCGACCACGTGTCCGAGGTCTGGACGATGTTTTCCCGAAGCGCGTTTCACGAAGATCCCCTGCCTCCGCGTGCGGCCAAAACCGCGCGCACGATCAGAATGTGTCAGGCACGTCTCTGAATATTCTGAACTGGGAGGATCTCGTAATCCGACACTTTTCCGAAACTGGTTTCTCACGAGCAGAAGTCGTGTTCTTCCAAAGGGGAAAGTTGGACTTGTTTCTACTTTTCGTTTCAACTTTTCGCGACTTCACTTGGAAGTGTCATGTTCACTGAGAGAAAAGTATATGATATTTGGAACTATAATGATATAGTAATTAAATTATAGTCCGAAATATCATATTTATAGTAAGTATTACCATAATATCGGTAATATTTACGATATAGGCATAACATAACCAATTATATATTATTTTTACTAAGAATTGTAGCAAGTTAAACTAAAATTATTGTATGGATACAAATATAAAATGGTAGGTAAAGTAATTCTTTTATATAGTCAATATTACAGAATATTTGCTGAATGATGACAGATGTAACTATATGAATATTAAATCTCACTATATTTGTGAATGAGAAATTACCATATGTGTGGTAAAAGTAACTAAACAATTATTTAAGACAATCATATATTTGTGTTTATTCTACAATATTTTGTAGGTTCCACCAACTATAAAAATATGGTTGGCGCCAAAATGAACTATAAAATATAGTGAGATTATAGTTAATTCAACTATATTTTCCTATCAGTGTTCTAAATATATTCCAAGTAGGAAACCCAAAGTTTTCCCAATACTTTTTCTGGTTAGAATTTTGTTTTTTTTTTCATTTTTTATTCCATTAAATAAAATAGTTGATACGGACATGAAATTCCCCATTTGATATCATAAAAGTTCATCAATATATTATTGAATGGAAAAAAGCACAAGTTCCATTTTTTTTTTTCAACTATTGTAATCGAGTAGTTGATTTTGAGACGAATTTGGAGATTTCGATTGCAATCTGCAGATGCATCCGTGAGAGTCCTAAGAAATTTCTCTATGGGTTTCTCCGTGGCAATCCATAGAACATTTTCCTCCAACTTTTCTTGGAACATTGTTATTTTGTGGCATTTCATTTCATGTTAGCTTCGCTAACATTTCATAGCTTTCCCCGATACGATTTTTTAAACGTGCCATATGAACGAAGACTAGACGAAAACTCGCTGATGAGAAACAATCTTTGTTATTTGTGCTCGAGACATTTGTCGCTCGCTTGAGATAACTCCAAACAATAAATTGAGCGTAAAAATCTCCTACTCGCGAATTTTCCCCGGACGTGCATTGCCCGTTGGAGAGAAATGTGCTGAAAATGTTCACAAGTCGGCGTAATGTTGCGATTAACCGATGGAGCTCGTTAGCGGAAACTCTCCGCGCGAAGAAAGGACCAGGGATGTCGAAAAATTCCGTTCACGCCGTCGTCGTTTGAAAATCAGATTTCGATCACGCGGCGCTTCGCGGAAGGAATCGCAAGACGAAATTGCCCGCGCGGCTATCCGCATCGTATGCCGCGCGCCGTATAATTAAGCCGTGATATTTCCACCGAATGCAAAACATGCAATTATCTCATCTGGATTACGGCCGTGCTCTTTAATAGCGAAAGCTACGTACATTTTGCGGCGGCGGGCGCGCCTTGAGACGTACTCCGCGGCCGCCGCAATTTTCCCCTCCGTTTCTGGAGCGCCTGGCGGAAAGACACTCGTGTAATTATAGATTTCACGGAGACACCCATTCACGTGATGTTAAACGCTTCTCCACTCGCATGCACGTGAAGTGAGACTTGTCCATAGGCCCGTAGCGCGTAAAAACTCATGTTCGCACGTCCCTTAATTCGAATCATGCAATTGTGTGGGAAAAAGGCTACTTCGACTTTGTGTAATCGCGAATCTCCGACGACACAAGCAAGTTTGTGGCAATAAAAAAATTCGATGGACGCGCGTTGTCGCGAGAATAAAAATCGCGAGATTCACAAACTGCTACAATGTCCGACTTGTGAACATTTTCAGTACATTTTTCCCTAACGGGCAATGCACGTCTTGGAAAATTCCCACGTCGTGGAAAATTCGCGAGCAGGAGATTTTTATTACGCTCAATTTATTGTTTTGAGTTATTTGAGTTATCTCAAGCGAGCGACGAATGTCTCGAGCACAGTAACGAAGATTGTTTCTCATCAGCGAGTTTTTGTCCGATCTCCATTCAATCGCCGAGATTTTCCTCCTCGTGTGGTGAAAATTGAATCGGCAAACTCAACTTTAATTTCATCCACGATCGTCTCGTGAGAGACGAAAGAATCCCATCCGCATGAGAGACAATTGGATCTCACCTTTATCTCGATTCACTCGTGCTTGAGACGAATCGAAAGATTGAAAGATCGCCGGCGGAGTCGGGGATGGTCCGATTCGATACGACAGCCGCCGGTAATTTTTTCGACGTCGCGTTTTTTCCCGTGTCTGGCAGAAAAAGCGGCGAGCACGCCATGTGGTTGGTCTCTCACGGACGCGAACATCTATTTTAATCCCCGTCACACAAATCGCATGCGTGTCGCATACGCGGACGGCTTGCGACAAGTTTTTGCGGAATCTCTCTCTCTCTCTCTCTCTCTCATTCCGCGAGCTGCGCGCGAGCGCCTTCGATATAATTAGCGATTATCTTGCACTCAGCCGCGGCGCGCGTGACCCTTCGGCAAACCTGTTTGGCGCATTTCTCTTTTCTCTTGTTAATTAATTAAGGTAGACACGCCGACTGACGCGTCGTCCTTCCGGGACGCTCACGGAAATCGCGCCAGCCAGGAGACGCGCGATGCTGAATGTTGACGTATTATTAATCGGCGGTATCTCGTTGAATCTTTGACGTCGCTTCGCCTCGTGAGCGACGTTGCTTCCTCGAGTGCCCGCACGAGCGATGTTCACAGGTGCGCTTGAGATCGCGTGCCTTAACAAAGTGCGGCTTAATAATAATTCTTAGAATACTTATCGAATCAATGGAAAAAAAGTTTGATTTCGGTCGCTCGTCGACCGAATCCATTTTTCCTTACGACGAAGCTGTGCTGATCGCCGCACAATCGTCCGATTGACGAATAATTTGTCTCCATCGGGTGCGACAGGGAGGCAAATCTGAAGAAATAATCCAGCCGGATACACCAAGTCGAATAACCTTTAACGAGAGATTACAAACCGCGGCCACTGGCAGCCCCAGCGTTGAGAAAACCGGAAATTCCTCCGTGTCCTCCGTGGCTGAAAGGACTTTCGTCGTGCCGTCGTCACGAGCGATCCTTCCCAATCCAACCGGTCCTTCCCCTCCGTGCGAAAAAGCACCGTAGCCCCGCCGTTTGACGATCTCGCACGGCGTCTCTCTGGTCTCTCGGAGGACTCCTCGGCGATATCGAGCGTGTGCAGTCGCCGTTCGTAACACGGTGGACAAGTTCTCCCTTACGGAGAGCCGGACGGGCTCGGTTTTGTCGTGGCGCTGTTAACGCGATTAACGTGCCCGGCGCCGACAATAACTGCTGATCTCTCTCGGATCTCTCGATCTGAGCCGCAACCGGCTCTGTCACACAATGCCCGGGCCCGATCGCGCGGCCAGATACACCTGAGGACTTCATTGTGCGCCGCACTGAAAGAGGACGCGCGCGCGCGCGCGAGGGCATCCTGCGCTCTCGGGCGAATTTATATTCGATAAGCCAACGCGCGCCTCTGACGTTTAACGCCCGCCTGTTGCGCCGCGCGACAATTACTTTCGCTTTACGGTCGCCGTAAATTAATTTTAATGATCCGCCCGTTATGATTTATCGCGCGGGAATCGTGCACGCTCGGAGACTCTGTCGCTTCGCGAGTGTCTCAGGAGAGCGTATACCTGTCCCGGTTAGCGCAAGCTGCGCGGGCAGCGCGCTTTCCCGGACTCGAACTTCGCACTGAATAGAAAAATATAGTTGAATTAACTATAATCTCACTATATTTTATAGTTCATTTTGGCGCCAACCATATTTTTATAGTTGGTGGAACCTGCAAAATATTATAGTAGAATAAACACAAATATATGATTGTCTTAAATAATTGTTTAGTTACTTTTACCACATATATGGTAATTTCTCATTCACAAATATAGTGAGATTTAATATTCATATAGCTACATCTGTCATCATTTAGCAAATATTCTGCTAATATTGACTATATAAAAGAGTTACTTTACCTACCATTTTATATTTGTATCCATACAATAATTTTAGTTTAACTTACTATCTAATTCTTAGTAAAAATATTATATGCTTGGTTATACTATGCCTATATCGTAATTATTACCGATATTATGGTAATACTTACTATAAGTATGATATTTCGGACTATAATTTAATTACTATATCATTGTAGTTTCAAATATCATATACTTTTCTCTCAGTGTAGCAGCGCGCACGTTGCGTTGTGCAAACGTCTGCTAATCAGGGGCCCTTTTAGGTTGACTCTTATTGTCCTTGTTGACTTCCTTCGATTTTCTTCGACCAATCGTATTCAATTGTCGAAATGAGCGCTTATCATCGCTGCGAGGCGCTTTCCTGAACAAATCGGTCGCCGCTGAGCAGCGCTTCGCCAACGATTACGCCGCGCTTTTCCTCGCGGATCCTCCTCGCTTCGGATCCTTTTCGCTAGGACAATAAAGAAAGACGCGCAATAGACACGTAATGTCTATTGCGCGTTCGCTCGCGGACTTTGGCCGGCAGAGTCCGCGTTCTCGGCGTTTTCCTAGGACCGTGCGTATCGTCGAATGGAAATCAGCCGTGGGGAAGAATGGCCGCCGGAATGAATTATCGCGGTATATTCAAGCGTTCACGCATCGCTACTCCGGAATTCATTTTATGCGCATCACCGTGGTCGCCTCGTGGTCGATTTAAGTGCGACGAAAATATTAAACACCCGGCGCATTAAACACCGATATCGTTGCGCTTCTCTTGCAGGATGGTGCTGGTGGTGAACGGGGTCCTGCAGGAGGAGGTCCCGGCGGACAGCAGGTCTCTGTACGCGGTCCACCCGGTATATCGCGAGTCCGCGGCCCAGCTGCACTCGATGCCGGCGAAACTCGTGGGCCCGGCCGGCCTCCTCTACGTCCAGCAACGAGAGATGGCCGCGACTCTGCCGCACGACAGTAAGTGCAATGCATCTTGGCGCCGTGTCGAGAACACGCCGAAGAGGCACACATACAGGGTGTCTGCGGGACACTCGGCTGTCCGAGCGCTCGTGAACTTGCGGCCTTTAGATATCGCGCCTGCGCTGACTGGGAAGTCAGGTAACAGGCTCGAAACGTGTCTCCTTCCTCCAGAGCTCGTCACGCTGCCGAATTTTCTCGCGTTAATACCTCGTTAACTTTGGTCCTACTTCCAATCTAAACTGTCACGAAGCACCGATACCCCCGGGAGGACCGCTGAAGATTTAAGTTTAAGACTTTTAGTTTAGTGGATTTATTCGTTGAGACCTGTCTCTCTCTCTCTTTCTCTCTCTCTCTCTCTCTCTCTCTCTCTCTCTCTCTCTCGGTAAAGGTTGATTTCGGGAAAGGTAGGCTTCAGAAAACCCAACAAAAAGTAATTCCAGAACAAGCGGAATCATCTAAATTTTAGAGGATTTTATTCTTATATATGGCATATCCTCAAGAGGATTCTTCTAAGATTAAGAGGGAAATATTGTAAATACATTATTATTCTTAAAGTTCGAGGGATTATATACAGGTTGCGTGAAAAGTTCGCGGAGCAGCATCTATAAGTAAACGGTAGAATTATAAATTGTAGTCGGTTATGTATAGAATCACTCTTCACATAAACCTAGGTTAGGTTTCATTTCCATCTGTCAATTCTTTCTGTGTTTACAAGCCGATTGAAGTTGACGTGTCAGTATATTTGTTTGCAATGGAAAATTTGAAACAGCGTGCAGTGATTGAGTTCTTTGTTAAAAAGGTTTAAAGGCAATGGAAATTCATTTCGAGATGATAAATGTGTTAGGGGAATCTGCTCCTTCAAAAACAATAGTTTGTAAATGGGCACTTTTCAACGTGGTCGTACAAGCATTGAAGATGATCCACGCAGTGAACGTCCAAAAAGCGCATCAACACCAGAAATCATTGAGTAAATACATGTTATTGTTTCTGAAGATCCAAGTGTGACTACGCGTGAAATTGCTCATACCAGCAGGCATTTCAGATGAACGGGTACGGTATATTTTGCATAAAGAATTACAAATGAAAAAGGTGTTTGGAAAAGTGGTGCCGCATACGTTAACAATTCAACAAAAACTCGTTCGAAAGCAAATTTCTCAGCGTATTGGATCGTTTAAGAAAATAAAACGATTTGTGCTCGTTTTATAACTATGATGAATTGATATCACCATGATCTAATTGAAACAGGAACGTTTACAGTGGAAACTGAAACTGGATGTTACTGAAGCTGGATGTTCAGCTCCAAAGCAAACAAGGCATGAAAGATCGGCAAAAAAGGTTTTGGCATCAGCTTTTTGGGATGCTAAAGGGATTTTATTAATTCACTATCTGGAAAAAGGTAAAACAATTAACTCTGAATATTATTGTAACCTTTTGGATCAATTGGACGCAAAAATTCGTGAGAAGAGACCTGATTTGCAGCACAAACAAATCATTTTTCACCAAGACAACGCACCTGCTCACACAATTGTTTTGTCAATGTCTAAATGCAATGAATTGAAGTACAAATTGCTTGATCATCCACCGTATTCGCCAGATTAGGCACCCAGCGACTTCTATCTGTTCCGAAATCTGAAACAATTCCTCCGTGGAAAGCATTTTTTGTCGAATGAAGAAGCTATAGCAGCCGTAGAGGCATACTATATTTCGCAAACCTTCCAGAAACACACTTCCGCGATGGAATAAAATTATTGGAGAGCCATTGGGCCAAGTGTATTGAAGTTAATGGAGACTATATTGAAGAATAAAATCATTTTTAGAATTTGGTATTCTTTATTTTAGTTTCGCTCCGCGAACTTTTCACGCAACCTGTATGTGTATAATCTTATCGATTTTAATATAAATTTCTTAATATAAAATCAAATCTTATTGATTTTAACCCTTTCACTGCTGAATTAACTTCCCTTGAGAAAATTATTAAAATATTTGATAGTCTTACGTTTTTTAGGTCGCTGATTACGAATCTAAAGTCAGATTTGCAAAATTCAAAATGGTGAACTCAATATGACGATCATGATGTACAAAATTAATGAAAATTCAAATTTTTATTGATGGTGTATGGGTTTTTCAGGTCGCTGATCACGAATCTTTTGAGCAAAATAATATTGATAGTATCGATAGGATGGAGCTACAGAATGAAAACACTAGGAAAATAGAGCTAAAAAGTGCAAAAAAATCAAATTTCGGCCGTTTCTGTAGAAATATTTGTTTATAAAAAGAAATCTAACCTGCAAAAAAATATTGAAAAAAATATGTTTCTATACAACATCAGATAAATATTTGATGAAAATTTCAAACCTCTACATTCAATACTCTTCGAGGAATCGATTTTTCCCTATAAAAAGCATTTTTTTCAACTTTGATTTGTTATAAATAATCCCAAATGAATAATTGGGTATAAAAACCTATTCGAGTATGTTGAACAACTATTCAGTTATCTGGAAAACTCAAAGCCCCGATTAGTTCTTCAAAATTATGTGATTTACAGCGCAAAATTGAATCGAGAAAAGGTGAGAAGTATATTTCTCACTAACAGTGAAAGGGTTAACAGAAATTTCCTCTTATCCACAGATTATTTAATTTTTTTAAAGAGGATTATTATTTTTTCTATTATACCCTGCATAAAACAAAACTATAAGAATAAAAGACTCAGGCTCAGATTAAATGCGTGCACGATGCGAGTAGAGATCGTCGCGTGACGGAGCAGCTACTTTTTGCGGCACGCGGTTGCCGCAAAAAATGGCACGTGTGAAGCGAATCCCGCGCGAATAATGCATCTTGCGACAAGAGGCGCGTACGAGTTTCATATAATTTATTCCACATTACCGGTGCCCGAACGGTCGTTAAGCTCGAAAAATAAATATTAGACGGAGCGCAACATCCTTAAATTCCTTCCCCGGAGCCTAAGCATGCGGATCGATTGATCGATGGGCCGAGCGTTTATCAATCGCTCCCTGAGAACGTTGATATAGTTATAATAAATTAAGCGCGTTCGATCGATAACACGATAACGAGCGATTTAATTAATAATCTAGACATACGTTACGTGGCGGCGTTTCGACGATGTTTTGATTTTGCCAAATAGGGATTAATATGTGTGTGTGGTCCATGGAGAGGGAAAGAGAGATATTTGCGGCGAAACGATCTCTGTAAAAGAGGTTCGAAAGCGATACGTAAGAACCTCCGAAAAAGAGGAAAAATAAGCGCTCCGGAGTCAGGGAGATATCAATAAATTCAAGACTCCACGAGGGGGAGAGAGAGAGAGAGAGAGAGAGAGAGAGAGAGAGAGAGAGAGAGAGAGAGAGAGAGAGAGAGAGAAGGCGCACGCACGCGAGCCAGGGAGAGAGAGAGATATTTCGGCCGAAAAACAATCTCTTGGCTTCTCTATCGGGACATGCCGCTGATGCAATATCCGCACGAGTACCGCGTGTTATCTCCCGATGGTGATATCGAATTGTGTTACCGGCAACTTGCGCCGCGATATCGTACCGCGATTGACGCAACGCGCGCCGCTGCCAGCTGATTGCGGTTAATTATGTATGAGAATCGAGAAAACAACCGCGGCTGATAAATCGACGGACGCGCCGAGTCCGTCACTGTTATTTCGCGTTATCGGCCAACAGTAAATTACACAGCTCGACTTTTTTTCCTTTCTTTACCGAATACCTCCGGACGGAGGCGTACGCCTTTTGAAAACACGTCGACTCGTCACTCGATTCGTCACATCGTCGCTGCAAGAATGTTGGCAAATTTTCCGCTGGAACGAATCTCTAATTTATCCCCCCCCCCCTCTCTCTCTCTCTCTCTCTCTCTCTCTCTCTCTCTCTCTCTTTCTTGCCGTTTTAAACGCGTCGCTCCGGACGTCAAATCCGGACGAGTCCGGATAGCACGTGCCGCAACACATATTTATAATCTCTTTTATCGACGTATTGCAGAATTATCAGATAGCGTGACGGTCATCGTCCGTCGCCCGTGTTTGCGTAAAAACAAAAAAAGATAGAGTAAGTCCGGGATAGATGGACATAGAGTTTTTAATTGCAAATAACTCAGCAGTGTATTAATGCAATAAATGGTCAACAACATGTTAACACATTCAGTAGAGGATAATGTTTAATGTACAGAAGAGTTTCTGTGAAAAAGAATTCGTGGGACGCCAATAATAACGAAATATTAAAAATATTCTGTGAGGGATAGATGGTCACAGGTGTCCAGGTTAGATGGTCATATGTCAAAGGATAGTTGGGCATACGTCATCTCTGGTGGTAATGAAGGTTTAGGTTAAATACAGTGTTTTTTAGTCGTTTAAGCGCAGGTTGTAATGTTGTAACTCAAAATAAACCGTATTCGCAAGTATTATTCCGTATTATTCCGATGTGTGAAACATTTTGGAGGTTAATAGAAACATAAAACATTTATTTATAATATATTTATTTATAATACTCATAATAACAGTGTTTTTGTGTATCAGGAAGGAACACACCTATTCGTGATACATCCAACTCTGATTGACCGATCGGTGTTGACAAATTTGACATTTAATGTTAAGTACCAGGGAAAAATGACAGTCGAATATATATATACAGGGTGTTTCAGCAGGAAAGGTACATATTTCAGGAGGTTACATATAGTATGGATCATTTTGAGTAAAAGAGTTCATATTAAAATGTATCCAATTTTCAATAGATGTGGAGTTACAGCCATTTGAATATTTGAATATTGAGCGATGGATCGGCCGCAGGGGTACCGTTCCTTGGCCACCAAGGTCCCCGGATCTTACCCCATTAGATTTTTGTGTATAGGGATGGATGAAAAGCGAAGTCTACAAAGAAAAAGTGAACACAAGAGAAGAATTGGTTGCTCGCATTCAGGACATTTGTTTTCGCATAAAAGAACATGAAGACGACCTCGGACGAACTACACATTCTGTTGCACAGAGAGCTGAAAAGTGCATTGAGGACGGTGGTGGGATTTTTGAAAATGTACTTTGAACTGCTGTGAATTATTCGACTGATTGTGAATCACGAATTTCTTCAGAAAGTTCTTCATGTGGTTTTCATTTATGTTCGTAGGGTTTTTGCATCAATAAAAGCCAACCAATAAGTTTTTGTTATTTTCATCAGTAAGTTCTTCATGTGGTCTTCATTAATTATTGCAAGTTTTTTTACAAAAATAAGTCATTTTTATACTTTTGTTCATTTGTCAGATTTCGTTGATGCTTAACATTCAAACGGCTGTAACTCCATACCTATTGAAAAAATTGGACACATGTTAACATGAACTTTTTTAATCTCAAAATGGTCCATACTATAAAACCTCCTGAAATCCTCCTTCTGTATATCTCGAAAATGTCGATCCGATGTCCATTGCTTGCTATTTCTCGCTAAGTAGGCTGGCCATCTAACCCTAAAAAAATGGACCATCCATCCCCGTTTGGAGAATTGGCGTAAAAATGCGTGAAACGTAGTGTCGGTGACGAATTTCGAGATTAAATATGAAAATACGATGTTTTTTTAGTCATTTAAGCGCAAGTCTAATGTTGTAATCTTAAAATAAATCGTATTCGCAAGGTATTTTCCCGACGTGTGAAACACATTTTGGAAGTTACTAAAAGCATAAAACATTAATTTACTCATAATGGCAGTGTTGCTGGGATCATCAGGATGAAACACACTTACTCGTGATACATCCAACTCACAACTGACCGAACAGCGCTGACGCCTAGCATATATTAACAAAATTCTAGCAATTGACCATCTATCCCGGACTTATCCTACGTCGATCGAGCAACGTTCGCTCTAAAATGTGAAAAGCGAGAACGTGGTAGCGATCGCAACGTCAATTAATCTTCCGCGTCGAGAACCCGCGGGAGCGGCCTTCCCGCGACCTGTGCTTATCTTCGCTTGGTTAAAATTGGAATTTTGAAAACGCGAAGCGTTATCAATCGCGCCTCTCGCGCGAGCTCGGGAGATATCGATATTTCGCGAGATCACCGAAGGAAATACGTGGAAATCACAAAAACACTCACCTTGCGTAATCGTGGAAAGTTACTGCCGCTGTGTGTCGGCAAACAATCCTGACAATCTATAGCCTATTCAGGCGCTATTCGCGCTCGACGCCGCGCTAACTATTCTTCTTCTCTTTCACAGAGAACGTGAGCATCCTCGGTTCGGACGACATGACCACGTGTATAATCGTCGTCGTCAGGCATTCCGGTGAGTATCCAGTCGCGATCATTACGAGATGACTGTCTTCCGTTGTAATAAACGGCGCAGTCGATAGCAAAAAAAGAGGAGAACGATGGAGAACAGTGAAAACGCGTTTCATCGCGACGCGTCGCGCAAAATCGCGCCTCCGGCGACATTTACGTGCTAATCGTTCCGGAGTCGATTTTCATTCCTGCGACGGATTCGTTAGCAGAATTCAGTTTCACTTCTCTTCTCGAGACGGATGGAAATTTATTACGCTTGCGTTGTTACATTTCCGTGTTTAACGGAACAGACATCTTGGCACGGTGAAAAACTCGAGTCGAATTTCCGAGAATTCAAGCACCTCGGAGAGACGCGAAGCTCTCTTTATCTCTCGACTTTAAGTCAAATTCAATCGAAGCGAGAAGTGAAGTGAAAATTGCCATGTAGTTCCCCATGGGATCGACTTATCGGTTACACACGCGAGGCAGCGATCTTACGCGATGCATGTACGATGTTGTAAAATTATAAACGCCTCAGGTTCTCGTCGCGCATGCGATGAGAAAGATGTGGCATCTCGGAAAGAAGAATTACCGTGCAGAAAGAGCGTGGAGAGGGACGGGGGAGAAACGGGGGAGAAAAAAGATTAGAAAAATAAAGGGTGGGGGATAGAGCCGATGCCGCCTACTTTTAAATTAGTCGCGGAGCTAACGAGCAAAAACTCGTGGAAAATATTACTAAATCGAGTGATGCGCGACGTTTGTAATCGTCTCGGTCTCCTCCCTCCCTCCCTTCCCCCGTTACACCACTTTTTATTTCCCTGTCGTTCAGCCGCGCACAATGGATCTGCCTCTTGTTCGCACGATCGTTGACTCTCTTTCACGATACAACGATTAACGTAACGCGACATGCGAAACGCCACTTCTTTCGGAAAGACAAGATGTTTTAATAGAACCAGTTTCGCCGTGCGAGCGTGCGGCAGAGAAGTTGCCTCGTCACCTCGTGATTGACACTCATATCATGGAGTTATTTAAATGTCCTACTTTTCACGATAGTTTTACGATATCGTGTTTAAAGAGCTTCGCGGAAATAATTGCGGTTGGGGAAAGAACGAGAGCCTCTCTCGCACGATTTTTCATCGAATTCTTATGCAACAGCAGAAAAGTGCTGGTGAGAGAGAGAGAGAGAGAATCGAGCGGGCATCGGCATCGGCAGAATCGTGAGCTCAATTTTGCGAATTTATTTAGAAAATAATACGTACTTGAAATAAAAAAAAAGAAATGTACATAAAATTCTCCGATACTGCGCAAATATTACGTGAAGAATTTGTTTGAAAGATAATGCACGAGAATGTGCTTGAAATGTCTCGTTGTCGTTTTCTATCGTATTAGACGTTACATGGAGAATTGATTTGGAAAATAATACACGAAACGTATCTAAATTTAGAAGAACGTGCTCAAGATTTCTCCGATGCCACGCGGCTACTCTTTACTGCGTGTAAAAATTACATTGTACTTTGTAATTATCATATCCCGTGCGAGAAGCATCTCGCGCCTTCGTACACGCTGAAATTTCGTTCAAATTACCGCGCGGCCGTTCCTCAACTAGCACATCCGTTCTCTCCGGCTTGACGTTTACAACTACTTGTAACAGATATGAATCCCGAGGCTCCATAAATGTTGCTTTTCCGAACAATAACGTATTTCATCCCGCTGAAGGGCCACGTCATATTGTGCCATCTCCACCCCGCGTACGTTTCGACGAGACTCTATCGGACGCGTCGCGTCGCGACGTTCTCCGCCGTTCGCGCTTTCTCCCGCGACGACAGCGATGCGCAAGCTGGGTGTCTCCGATCGTCTTAAGGTTGCGCGTGAATAATGGCCGAGGTAGAAAGCGACTGCGAAAGTACGTAATTAAGTAACAGTTCGTGATATAAAAGTCCTTTTAATGCGCCGGATCGCGGCGAGTTTCCCCCGTTGAAGCCGCTGCGCTTCGCGCTCGCGACGATATTCTTTTCGCAGCCGTGTGACTGTGTTACATCCATTTGTTATATTGATTGTTATTCCATCTGTGCTTATTTCACTCGATTTTATGTTTTATTTCTTTTTTTTTTTATTTCGTTCAATCTATTCTCTCCTATCTGTTTCATCTGCGATCATGTTTGTTGTATCACTAAAGAATGCTTGTTTTCCCGTCAAGATGATCGTGATTTGATATTTCGTCGGAGGTTATCTGTGCCCTCAGGGGTCTCGGCATTCATTAGGAAATTGTCCCCGCTTTGGCCGTTGGACACGTTTTCGGGACAATGCACGCGCGCGCGCGCGCGCGCCTATCCTTTCTCTCGCCGCCCTATTTGTCCTCCGGTCGTATTGGCTCCTGCAAATGCCGCCGTTTGCCGGATAATAACGCTTCCCGTCGCAGCGCAGCAATTACGTGCCTCGGCGCTAATTATGCAGCGAGAACACGAGCTAATGCGCTTGCAGTGTCTCGCTGGACTCGCTTGCGCGAGAGTAGTCGGAAGATTGCGAAAACGCTCGTGTACTTTAACCACTACCTTCGACGCCGCCGCCGCCGTCGCCGCCGTTCTTATCGCGCCGAGACGTACGAACGATAAATCGCATCGTACGAGCCTGAGAGTCGTTTCGGCGCATCGTGCAACGGTGAGCGTCTTTCGGCCTTCTCCACCACTCGGCTGTTCGATGCAATAAACGGCCAAAAAGAGAGAGAGAGAGAGAGAGAGAGAGAGAGAGAGAGAGAGAGAGAGAGAGAGAGAGAGAGGGGGGGAAAGATAAAGAAAGCCGATGTACGCTCGCTCGCGCGCTAATTACCGCGCGGTAATTAGCGAGTCCGCCCGGTAGCGACGTTGAGACGCAAGGGAAATTAATTTCCCTCCTAATAAGCGTTATTCCGCCGCTGCGGGAGGGATGTGTAACGACCGGAGATATCGGAAGATAACAAAGTGCCGAAGCTGGTGAACTTCGCCCGAGTGTCCTCCTTCTTCGACTCTCGCGACCTTGACTCTTTCTCTCGACCCTTCGGCTACAGCTGATCCGGTCCTTGTTCCGGGTGCGCGTTGCGAATATCTAATAGCGAATCATTATAATGGAGCCTCGGATTTAAAAGATCCTCTGGAGGGGAGCAATAAGCTCTGCAATATGCACTAGGTGAGCCTTCGAGATGTCAGACTAGCAAAATATTAGGTCTACTTATTTTAGCGACGCTCTGTGTCTTTTCCTCAGTCCGATGTTCAGGTTTCAACCTCTCGGAGGTCTCTGAGAGAGTTTCGCTTCATTTTTCTATCTTTCTATCTTCTAGACAGTCGAATTGCCTGAATCATGAAGCAAATGAAATATTTGCTTAATGATATATTGCTTATTTTCACCCCAAGAAGCGGGAGAAGTTAGGCCAATGTCACCGTGTCCGCTGAAATTTACCCGTTGGGAATTTCAAAGTTCTCCCTTTAACCCTTTCACTGTTAGTGGGAAGTATACTTGCCACTTTTTCTTGATTTAATTTTGCGTTGTAAATCACATAATTTTGAAGAACTAATCGGGGATTTGAGTTTTCCAGATAACTAAATAGTTGTTCAACATACTCTAACAGGTTTTCATATCCAATTATTCATTTGTGATTATTTATAACAAATCAAAGTTGAAAAAAGTGCTTTTTTTTCTTAAAGAAAAATCGATTCCTCGGAGAGTATTGAATGTGGAGGTCCGAAATTTTAACAAAATATTTTTCTGATGTACAAAAACATATTTTTTTCAGTATTTTTTTGCAGGTTAGATTTCTTTTTATAAACAAATATTTTTACAAAAACGGCCGAAATTTGATTTTTTGCACCTATTAGCTCTTCCTAGTTTTTTCATTCTGTATCTCCATTTTATCCATACTATCAATATTATTTTACTAAAAGATGAATGCTTAGTCTCTAGTAAGCATAAATATGCAGTACCAAACATTTTCCTATATAAATTTTTTCCAGCTCGATCGACTTCCATCGTCTAGAATCATATGTTCTTATCACGACTTGGTCATTATTTAATAATAATTGGAATCTTCATGAATTTTGTACATCATGATCGCCATATTGAGTCCGCCATTTGGAATTTTGCAAATCTGACTTTAGATTCGTAATCAGCGATCCAGAAAACGAATAAGACTACCAAATATTTTAATAATTTTCTCAAGGCAAATTCAGGCAAAGGTTAATTCAGCAGTGAGAGGGTTAAGGGGAGTAAGCACAGATTTAAAGGCGCCTGGGAGGTCCGCGAAATTCTAGACGAGATTCTAGAGCGATCAGCAAAATGGTGTTCGCGCGGTTGTTGTGTGATGTTGAGTCGCTCAGCCTTATCCTGTGTATATCCAGCCCATTTCAAGCGCTGCGAGCGTTGCTGACAAAGATGGTATAGTTGAGGCAACAGCTATCTGTCACCTTGAAGGCTCACTTCAGTCGGCACCATTGTCGGGGAGCCACCGGCAACGCAGTGGCGCGCGGTTAAGTAAAGGGTTAACGGGCTCGCATTCGCCCGCGAGGGTTCGCCGCGCGATCCAAGTAATAACGGCGCGACGGCGTGATAAAAGCGCGCGGGGATGCCGGCGAGCAAAATGGCCGTAATAAATCGGGCCGCGAGTCTTCGTGCCCGGTAATAAACAGTCGAGCTGCTGGTGCGCGATCGCGAGTAATCCCGGACGGCGGAATTCGAATTGCAGGTTCGGGCGCCATGGCGTTGGCGCATCTCGACGGCTCCGGGACGGAGGACGCCGCGGCGGTAATGGTCCAGAGGGTGACGGAACTCGCCCTTGGTTATCCCGAAGGTCGTCTGGAGCTGCAGTTGGTCGGCGGTTACTCCGACCCAAGAAACTACTCCGAGGAACTGTTCTACAACATACTCTGTGAGTGCGAAAGCCGTTTCTTACTTGCCGTCTCTCGACCGCGTAAATTGCAAATTTACATGGGATCTTAACTTCGCGCAACGATCCGATAAATTCGCGTCGTCTCTCGTCATTATACTATTGTAGCACTTGATTATCAGTGTGAATTATTACCAATTAATTCCTAGCAATTAATTGTAGAAATTAATTTCCTGGGAGAAGAAGCGGACGGAGTAAATTCGGGCAACGATCTTTTCTCCTTTACGATTTTGTAATATCTCCTCTCGGACGAAAAGAGACGAAAACGTTGTGCGATACTGAAGATTATCAAATTGCGTCATTGTTATCGAGTGCCGTTATCGGGTTTCTCGGTGGTTACGCGCTGGAATTTGTGTTTACCGAGGAGAAACGCCTCTCGAAGTCGTTACATCTGCAAATAAACGACGGCGAAGACGGCGCATCCGTCCGACTCGATCCGTAGACGAGATCGTTCCGTAAATCGTTTGCATGTTTAACTGCGGGTTTAAAGCGAACAGATCAATCAATTATCCGCGCCGCCGCGATTTCGGATCGTCATCGCGCGTCGATTGAGAGTCGCGATAAAGACCGGCCAACGCGCAGATATTACATCGCGCCTCTCTCTCTTTCTCTCTCTCTCTCTCTCTCTCTCTCTCTCTCTCTCTCTCGTTGGAGACGAGACGTTAACGCTAGCCGATCGTTTGCCGCAGCCGCTTTTCACAAGCAACCGGTGGAGATCGATCTGACGCTCTGCTGCGTGGGCGAGCTCAACACCACCGTGAGAAGTGGGATCCACTGGCCGGTGATCTACGGTATCGGGCTGAACGTGAAGACGGGCGAGATCTTTCCCGCGACTTTCCCCGACAAAGGCCCGGAACAGGCGCTGAGGTGCGCCAGACAATTGACCGGAGGTCAGCAGGTGCGTGTGCGCGCGCAGCGCGCGCGCTTCGTGTAGCTAAACGATACCGCTAATGAGCTGCGCGTAAGAATCGCGCGTCGCGGCACTCGCGCTGGGAATCTGCGCGCGTAGTAGAGATCGCGTAGATTGCAATCTCGGGCTCGATTCATCGAGCGAGCGAGTCGTCGTTCCTCTCGACTTCGCAACGTCAACGTGCGCGCTGACGACGTCGTACTCGTCGAACTCACTCGGAGAACGCGATGAACGATGTTACACCGCGTTGTTCTCTCTCTCTCTCTCTTTCTCTCTAGCTTTTTCCTTATCCCGTCTCGTTGATATCATATTAATTATAATTTTAATTATTTACCACACGCGCACGCACACGCGCATTGTACTGGATGTTAAAAAATTAACAGGTGACTCGTTAATTAGTTAGGAATTGATTATTCATTGGTAATTTGAACAGCGAGATAAATCGATTATTTAAACGAGGCCGCAATTCGGTCGGGCGTTATTTCGTTCGTATTATACTTTACGATTCATTCTCTCCGCGCATACGTGGATATATTTGTTTGTTTGTTTGTTTGTTTGTTTGATCGTTAATCACTGTTTCTCTGGGATCTGAGAAATGTGCAAACGGAACAAAATAAAATGTGAAATATTTTTAATGTCATTCCCGCTCTGATATTTCCTTGTGCTGCTACGTGTGTTTATCCTAATGCGCAGGTTCTCGATATATACGACTGCACTCTGGGATTACTTAGAATCGGGCCCTTCAATTACGATCCCTTGCGAGGCGTGGATCTCTGGTTGGCGCAGTCCGATCAATTCATCCTGCAGCACCTGTCAACGTCGCCGGAGGTGGAACTACCACATTTCGTACAACAGGTAACGCTATTTCTTGCATTACCCTTTTGGAAATTTCCACTTGATAAGGAGATACATTTTTATTCACTGTTACGACATCGTTGTAACGAATAACTTGTAATAATTGAATGTTATTTTGATAATAATTTAATAAGCTGTGCTATTAAGGATGTGTTACATTATTATAAATATTCTAGATGTTTCAATTTAGCACAGTGGGCGGATATATTATTTCAAGAATAATTGGATCATAAAATTGTCGTAATTCGAATTGCAAATATTCGCGGACATTAATAACAATGCAAAAACCAAACGTAGCTGTGCGCTTCCCGCGTGCGTCGCTAAATAGCGATCAAATTATCGTTTCAGGTGCGGACGACGCTCAAGTACATCCAGGACAATCAATTCCCGGCCGTCACCGTCTTCCGAGATAATAGACCTCATTACTATCGCCGCGACGAAGCCGGTATCTGGCAGCCGATACGATACTAAGCATAATACCCAACGAATTCGGTTGGGACCTGCTGCGCGAAGAGCTCGTTCGCGGGATCTTTCGTACGACACAGAAAAAACACGTGTAACATGAAACTGCGAATCGACGGAATTGCACGAAGCAAGGCGATCGGGCCGCACGGCTGAAGTCCAAAACAACTGCTCGAATCTGGAGACCTCGACTGCGCCCCTCAAAAGTAGCGGTGTCGTTGCTCAAGAGCCGCTCAAGCGACGAGGAGATGCGCTACGAAGATGCCGCATCTCAAGATGATCGTCCGGCTTGACGATGGGCGAACGAATTGCGGAAGTCGGCGTGTAATTGCAGCCTTCGTCGGTTGGCAATTATCTGTGATCGACGAGGAAAGGACGTCCGATCGGGGGAGAAGCCGTGGGATCGGGTACCGATCGAAGCGGTCATAATCAGCGCGCCAGACGGCGACGTCTCGAAGTCTGCTCGCACTGAGAGGCGGCGTCTCGTGAATCGTCTTGCTATTGTAATCAGGACGGAGGTTAGCGTCTGAATACGATTCTCGGTATTTTCCCATTTTTCATGTCTCCGCGAATTAGTGCGAGCTATGGCAGGGGGCGTAAGAAATTTCGAGAAGCGGCTTCTTGAACCATTTCCGCCCGTGCTACGGTCGCAAGAAATGTTTGGATTTGGATTTGGATTTTCGCACATCCAAACACCCAGATAATCGGTTTGCCGAATTATCCGATATTCCAGTCCGAATCGTCCGAATCTTAATATCCTAACTATCGCAAAAGAATTAGAGACGGAATTGCGAGGGAGAGATAATGTGGATTTTTTTTTAAACCCTATCAAGTCATTCGTGGAATTTCTTTCTGGGCTCTTTCATTATCAGATCTTTTCTTTTTATTCGCACCTTTAACTCGGGCAACTTTAAACCCGATCGATTCGAAATCCATTATCCTAGAAATCCTAGAAACAATTCTTCCTAGCCGTTCGGATGTTAAATTATTCGGATGATTTCAGCCTTGGCTTATGTGTTCAAACGAGTTTTTATGATTCGGAAGGAATATGCGGATTCTTGAGCGCACACCTTAGGAAAGAAAAGAAAGAAATGCGCGGACACACAAGCGCACCTGTTGAGACAAGGACAGTCTTGGTTTCTAAGAAAATATATATTTTTAAATAAAGCACGCGTATATAAACTTCTTAAATATATATTAAAAAAAAAAAAGAAAGTACTCATTCGCAAGAAGAGGCAGCGCACAACGATTCCGTTGTAAGCGGGCCTGTGTGCGCTGAATGCGTCGGCGTTGTTGAATTTCTGATTTTTTGATAGATGCTTATATGATATTACACATACGTGGATACGATGATCGAATTCTACGTTGTTATATCTGTTGTTGTAGTCGTACGTAGATCGTTACTCCATCGTTAAAACGTTCTCTCCGTTTCTAATTGATGTCTCTTCCCCCAACCCGCCATCTCCCCTGCCCCCGTCGCGGTCGTCGATAGCGAGATGAAAAGCAGCGATACGTTTTCTCGTCGCGCGAGTTAGCGCTAGATGCGACTGCCCGATACTCACTTTATGTACACATCAAGAGCGAAACTTTCCTATTAGATAACTAACTCGACAGCGGTGAGTCATATTTGGGGCTAACGTGCGAGTGGAGCGTGTCTGCTGATAGCGCTTATACGTGCGCGCGTGCGCACACACACGCACACACACACACACACGCACATATATATACGTAAAAATATACACAGATAAAAAAAGACATACAAACACACATACATAGACACACACGTGAAACCACGAGACACTTATCCTTTTTCTTCGTCTTACTTTTCTCTTTGTTTTGTTCTTCCAGTCGGATTACGAAAGTTCGCGAAGCAACGAATAATTCCGCACTTGCCATAATAGGGAGAAGAAAGTTAGGCGAAGTAGAGAACGATGTACATAATTTTTTCAGGGTTGTGCCCGAGTCTTTCGGGTGAGGGAAAGTTCCTCTGCCTCGTCGCGGTTAGTTTAGCGAGGGCATGCGAATCCTTCCGAAAGTTCCCCGCGAAACATGGAGCATCCGGCGATCGTTCAGAGCTGAAAATGGTCTCGCGAAAATTTCTACGTGAATCATACGCTCGCACGCGCGTTACAACAGAGTCGCGGTCTTAAGGATCACTTTTTGAATTCCTCCCGGAACGGTCGCACGCTAATTGTAGTTTACGAAATTGGAGCAAAGGTCCAGTAAAGAACGGCTCTTGTGTGTCGCACTCTTTGTTGAACGACGCGGAGCTTTTTTCTCTTTTTCATGAAATCGCAAATAGGCGAGATTGATCCGTAGAGATGGCGAAAGATTCTACACGAATCACTCTGTCCTGTTTGATCAAGCAAAGGCAAGCGCGTACGATAACGAAGAAACGGACTAGTGCAATAAGGACGGTGCAATTTCACCGATGCGAGACTCGGACGATGCGAACGCCCGACGCGATTTCTCGCTGTTGTCGAAACGGGCGCTCGCGAAGACGAAGAATCAAAATGACGAGGCCTTCCCTTACCTGTGGATTCCATCGGTTAAGCGGGAGGATAATCCGCTTTCCGGACTACTCTCGAGAGCACGGCGAATTTTGCCTCACTAGCCACTACTTGGTAAAGACATCCATCACACACCGCACGATACCGCCGAGTGCAGTTTTCATTGAGAGAATAAGGAGAAAACAAAGACTTTACGTACTCGATAAATTCAGCGAGGAATTATCGTCGATGAGTTTCATTGACTCACTCTCTCCTCCCCCCTCCGGTTTTCTTCGTGGCACACGTATGATAGATCTGTCGTCTACGCACGGTTAGCGAAGCGAGATTCGTTCTCGCAGCGGCGTTCTCGAAGTCTTGGAAGTAATAAAGACGTGGAGGAAAAGCGCGTTCTCACAATTTTCCATTGTTCTAGTGATAGATAAGCTAACTGAGGTTGATAATAAGAATAACAGTAATAGTAATAATAATAGTAATGATAATAATAATAATAATAATAGTAACAACGATGACGACAATGATACTGCTGATGATAAGCGACAACGAGGATGATGATGATGATGATGATGATGATGATGATGATGATGATGATGATGATGATGACGACGACGATAATGATTACGACGACGATGACAATGATGATGATGATGATGATGATGATGATGATGATGACGACGATGATGATGATAACAATATTTCCTAGAAATCGAAGAGATATATTTTTACTATATTATGTAAAGAGCGAATGCACTCGTGATGATGAAGCTCTCAGGATCGAACCCACGACACTTTTCCTTCCCAGTCGATCTGCGCGAGCAGAAGTATAGCGGGTGGTTTGCCACTTACTCTGTCGCTTCTGCCAGGAAAATATACGGCTTTTTTCGCTTGCGTCATGGAAACTTTCCGGTGCCCAGCAACACGGTTATATTATTTCGTTTTTCTCTCTTAAGTCTCCGCCCCCTCCTCCCCTCCCCCCTCCCCGCGCTATCGCGCTCACGTTCCATTTTTGCCATTCTATCCTCTCCTTCACATCTTCCCCTTCCTGCCCGATGCTTTTCTCCCGGATCCTTACGACTTGTCTTCCTTCGTTCGATCTCTATCGTATTCTTTCTCGCGTTACGCAGACGCAGTCTTACTACATAATATTATTTGGTGATATATTTATACAATAAACGATGATAGAGCCTAAAGCGACGCTGTGTGTACGTTATTTTCACGTAAGAGCGAGGCGCGAGCGAGAAAATTCCCTTTTCCCGAATCCCGTTCGCCGGAGCGCTCATTTTGACCGCAAATGTGTAATTTTTCACGATTAGTTTAACCGACCGAAGTAATCGCGCTAGCGTGTGGCGCTTTGCGCGGTTAACTTTGCGCGGGAACTCGGTAACAACGTCGTTGACAAACTTGCAAACTGTCTACGTAGCGAGTTGTAAACTATTACGTAAGTGAACCGCCGCGCCGCGGGAGGAAAGGAGCGCGCGCGCGCGCGCGCGCGAGGTATTCCCGTTCTAACGGGGCGCCGTTAACAACATCGATCCCCGATGAAACTGTCATTAATTAGGGCTATAAATTAGATCCGAGTTTCTGAAATTTTCAGAACCGTCGTGCTCGAGCAACGGAATTTTCCAAGTGTGGATACTGAAAAGTATCAGAACTGTACTAACTGTACAAAAAAATCTTGTTGCGCTCCTCAAAACATGATGTCCGTCAATCAAGGACTTAGCTATTTCAAGCTCTTTCGAAGCTCTTCGAAGTAGAGTTCGGATAAAGTTGAAAAACATTTGAAGTCGAATTGTTCGAGTTTGTTCAAACTTCAAATTGTATCGAAGCTCGCAACTTATCGAATATAGTACCTATACGTCTATTGTTAATATTGCAAATAAGAAAGGTGATATCTCGATCGGACAAGAGAGAAAAGGCTCCTCGAGAAGCGCCTGTGAGTCTGGCGCGAGCACGACGAAGATTTTGCCGAATCGTCGTGAGCGGGGATGTCGCGTAAATACCTCGCGGAACGTCAACAGCAACCGGTGCGTGTGCGCCAGCTATTTCCTGACAAGAGCGCGCAGGAATTGTCTGATTGTCCGGGGGAGGCAACTTCCGTTCGCGGAAAGTTCGACTTTGCGCGACTCAACGAGTCCGCCGCCGGCGCGGAACGGAACTCGGAAATTCCGCGGGATGGTGATTATCCGGCAATGATATTCGCTTCGGGGACTCTGCAAGACGCCAAGACGCGCAGAAGAGTCTTCGAGCTCGCGCTCGCGTTCCCCTCAAAGCACCCTCGTGGAGCCATTTACAAAGCGGCACTTCGCACGATTGCACGCGTTGTCACACGCGCGACGATAAATCATGCTGACGTGCCCGCCGTTTGCACGCAATTGATTGCGGCGAGCGATTTCGAAAAATAGCGTGAGCGAGAGGCGGTGCTTCCTCTCGTAAACACGAGCAGACGAGGAAGCCCTCTCCCCCTCTTTCTCTCGCAAGATGCAATCGACGCGATATGCATATATTATATTTGTTTCGGTTTCGGTAAAATCGGCAGCAAACGTGTCTCGATGTCCAAGAATCGCGAGTGAGAATTCGCTTGAGACAACAACCGGAGAATTTAATCGTTCGGCTCAGCGGGAAACCCTTGGCTGTCGCGTTGCTCTCGCGAAATACGCGGAAATCCGCCGGGACTTGTTGACCTTTTTCATTCATCCCGATTCGTCGATGTTATAACAACGAAAAGAATTCGATCGCCAGCGTCAACAACGAACTGTCGTGTGAAAAATAAAAAAAAGAAACACCCGGCGGGAGAAAGCATTCTTCTATCCTTGCCCTCGCAGGGATAAAAGAAAAAGAGAGATATAAATTCGTCGGGCGATATCTGCATTTCCGTTCGCTTCACCTTGTGAATTTCCACTCTTCAATTTCAATCTTTGTGTTCTCCTCAGGTCGAAGATGATCTAAAAGCGCACGAGAGAGAGAGAGAGAGAGAGAGAGAGAGAAAGATCGAGGAATCGCGGCCGTAGTAAATATCGGCTTTCCGGCGTGTCATTTAGACTTCCGTTGTCCTTGCGCTGTCCTTCAGCTGCTCCGCGGCCTGCTCCGATATTTCTCCTTTTTTTCCCTTCGACGAGACCCGAAGAAAATCGTCGGAAAGTAGAGAAAGTAGAGCGGGAGCGAGAGAGAGAGAGAGAGAGAGAGAGAGAGAGAGAGAGAGAGAGAGAGAGAGAGCGAGAGAGAGGGAGAGAGAGAGCCGCGATGCAGAGCTGCCACGGCGGCGAGTAGTAACGGACGATCGCCGCGCAGACTCCTCGAAGGCGACGCGAGCCTCGCAGTAGTCGGCGTCAAGCGCTTCGTCCGGCGCGCTCAGTGGCGTCTCGCCGTCAGCTCGAGGACGATCCTTCCCGCGTCCTCGCCCGGCGTTTCTCGCTCGATCGCCCCACGTTGTTGGCCCCCGCTCGGAGGAGATCCCAGGCGGACGACGGAGTGCTCACCGTCGCACGGTGAGTTACAGAACTGTCCAGTCCAAAATTAAAGCGCCGCGCTGAATGGCTCTGCCGAGGGTCCTCCGAGAGTCTCCGCGCGCTCTTCCGAGACTCGCCAAGCGGACTCGAGAGACCGCTTTTCAGCGCTTTGTTTTAGCGCGGAGCGCTAGCGTCGAGACGACGAACGCGGCGCTCGTCGACGACGCGCGTCTCGCCCCGTGAAGACCCAGTGTCGTCCTTACTCGCGCGTGTTCGTTGCGCCTCTCGAGGACACGCGCGTTTGAATTCTTCCCCCCGAGTAACTCCGCCGCGAGTCGCGATCTCCGCTCGATGATTCTTCGCAGCGGCGATCTGCCGTAAGCGAATGCGACGTTTTGTGAGCGTCCGCTCATAAAATATGAGGAAACGAGTCGCGCTCTTATCACAGCGGTAAATAGGCTGTCTCGAGCTGCACTGTCTCGTGCAAAACACGTGGAGACGTGTCGCGTTCGAATTCCCGAGAGAAGATCATTCTCGCGCAAACTCGCCGGCAAACCGACATCCACGGTGTCGATTAATCGGTATTGTTTAAGAGCACGCGTATCGGCGTGCAGCGCGAGCCGGCTCCTCCTACGTTCGAAGTTGTTGAAGCAGCTTGGATTAATGATAAGCCGCGCTGCGAACGCCTCGGAGTTCCCGGCGAGTACACCGAGCGAGAGTCCGTTTCCGGGTACATTTGCCGGGGAAGAACGCGCTGGCGGATCGTATAATTCGACATCCGCGTGAAACTGCGACGAACTGCGAGGAGATGACGAGGAGTCGGAAGATCAGCGGCCGCTCGCTCGTTCCGGTCGCCGGCGCTCGCGTCGCGGAGGCAGTCACGTATCCTAAAAGCGCGCCGGTACGGTAATAATATACAATTGCGGGGGCAACCGCGCGGGATTGCACGCTCGGCTCTAAATCGCGTCTGTATTCATTGAGCGATGAATGAGTGATATCGCAGTGCAGACTCGTGCGGACTCGTGCATTTTCATAGCTGGCCGGCCGTAACTCCACTGCGACGGAGGCAGTCGTCTCCCTCGAATGAAGGGAAGGAAGGGAAAGAAGAAGGAAAGGACCCTCGGCCGGCTCCAGCACAACCCGTGCACGACCCTTGGATGGCGTTCCATGCGGCGCGAATCGCGACGTTTTTGTTTTGAATTTATTGTTCTCGCGGGCTGCCGGTTATTTCGAGTCGCTCGATCGCTCCGGGAACGAATAAAAGGGTAGGAGAGGAGAGATCAAGCGTAGCAGGGCGAAGTCATCGGTGAATATGCTTTTTACATTATTTCAAAAGTACTTTGATTTTTTGTTTTCTTTTCTTTTTAATACTGTCGACGACGCGCAAGGACGCGGTTGGACTGAAAGACGGCGTAATAACTTCTGGCTCGTAGTCGGTTAACGAGGAGCCGAAATTCTGCCCGCTTCGGCCGAAGCCTGCCTGTCTATACTAGTCATGTCGTCGTCATGTTGATCCAAGCAAGAGTCTTCTTCTTCCCCTACATTAGCAAAATGACGCCCGCGAAGTTTCCCCGGCCGGAGAGTCCTTCGGGCGCCCTTGTCGTTTGTGTACGCCATTAATATCTCATTAATTCCCCGGCCGACGATCGATATCCTCGATCGTCCCGCGAGGCAAGAGAATCGCCGACGAAACGAGTACGCGATGATCCGGCGTTGTTGCTTGCTTGCAGCTGCGAGCAGCTCACGACGGCTAATTGCGGACGTTCGTGTGGCCGGATCGTAATTAACCGTCATGCAGCTCGGAAACGCGAGCGGGAAGTTCCTCCCGATTTAACTTCTGCTTTCGATCGGCGCGTCCGCGCCGAGGGTTCCTCCGCTCACGCTAAGAGGACGAAGCTCGCTCGCGAGAAGGAAGAGAGAAGGACACGCGAGATCTGCGAAACGCGCGACGGAGCGCTCGCGAAGAGGAGGATCTCCGCGCAAATCGCTCCGTGCGGCGGGGAGAGCAGAAAATAGACGGTCTCTTTTATCCTGTTTTTATCCGTCGGGAGCGCGACCGCACTCTGGGAATTAACGCGGCGGGACGCGACGAGGACGGTAATATTTTTAATCCGGCGAGCGCGCCGAGCGCGCAGTCTTCGGCTAATGCGATGTATCTTCGCGCTAATGCAATATCAGCGATTTGACGGGCGTGCGAATGGAATTACGTGTGTGTGTGTGTGTGTGTGTGTGTGTGTGTGTGGCGAAATCCGCGCCACGTGGAAACGTATTGTGCAAGAGTCGAGCTCCGTAATAACGGCCGATAATAGCTCCTCGCGACGACGGTCCCCTCGATTTATCTCTCATCTTGCTTATTTCACGCGCGACGCCTCTTTTAACGCACACACATGTCGGCCTTGATGAAGAGTCGTCAGTCGGACAGTCGCACGGGTGCCTTTCGCGCTGAAATCCTAGCGGGAGTATCGCGTCGCGCGGAAACCAGTCGGTAGAAACTTCGTGAAATCATCGGCGAATATGCGTTTTACACGTTTTAAAAGTACCTTTACATATATATTTTTTTTCTTTCCTTTTTTTTATACTGTAGACGATGCGCTCGTCAGTTGATCAGCGCCGTATCAGTTTTCGCAAACGGAGAATTAGTATTCTCGCAACGGCGGTCTCCATTTACTTCCTGCCTTGCATATCTCATGTCCCCTTTTTTAACTCGCTCGAGTCCACCTGATGAAATTGTGGTGAAGATTTTATTCGCGGATTTAGCGAATTCATCGGCGGATATACATACTCCCACGTGTCTTCGCGTATCCATTTCTGCTTTTAGAACACTTGCCACGGCCGTGTATCGCCGATACTTTTATCGCGAATGACGTCCGGCAGCGCTCGTTACAAACGACGAAGCGTTAGCGCGCGCGTATAAAAAGCGAGCTCGTGTCGACGTGTGACGGAGAGCAGCGCGTCCTCTTATCGCGGGCCTCGCTATATTTTTCGGGAGGTATCGTAACGCGATCCTGCGCACACGCCGTGTATACGAAAGCGGAATATTATATTTTCCCCGACATTTCCGTCGCGCGGTGTTATCTGGCGCATACTTACACACACACACACACACATAATCGTGAGGCGGACTGACTTCTCGCGCGAAGGATATCATCCCCGTCCCGCCGCGATAAATTCCCCCGATCGCGATCGAGTGTCGTCGCTCTCTCATAATTCATGCTTCCGCTTTTTGCGCCGCGGTGGCGGTGGACGTCGCTTTATTAAAACTTCGTCTCTCCCGTCCCCTCTCTCTCTCTCGAGCCGTCTCTCCTTATCCGTCGGGATTATCGACATGCGCCGCGCATACAACGCAATCGCTTGTCCGCGCGATATTATTTTTTATCTCGGTCATCGACGTCGCGTCGCGGCTCGTCGCGTGTCGCGCGAGGAGGACGATTATCGTACGAAGGGACGATCGTCGTTTAGGGATGTGACGTCGTCGCCAAGTGCGGACGGCCGACGGGGATGCGTCGATCCGAGATCGATAGGCGGCCTCTCGCACCCGCGTTTTCCTCCCCGTGGAAAAGCCACGTTGCACGGGCTGGCTGTCTATCTGACGTATAACGAGTATACTTTCGCTCGTGCGCCCTGGAACTCATCGAGGCGAACGGAAGAGGGTGGACACGCACTGTTCCGGACAAAACGTATCGAAATTTCGAAGGGAGGGCAATTTCCGGCGAAGTCGTCATTCCGAATTCCGGCTACCGAGGCAATCCCACCGGAACGCGATTATCTCGAAATATATTTTGGAGTTGTCTCGGTGCACAGGTGGGCGCGTTAGAGTCTGCTCCTTCGAGCATACAGCAGGAGCGTGCTCAAATGAGCATACTTTTTTAATAAGTAACAATCTGCATAATGGGTAGGAAATAAGCGTGGCAGATTCCACGTGGCAAATATCCGCCGCAGCGAGAGCCGCTTAACTAACGCTTCGATAATTATCACGATTGGAAGACTTTCGAGAGAGAGAGAGAGAGGAGAGGAGAGAAACAGACCACTCGCTCGCTCGCGCCTGTCCGCCCGTATCAAGAATGACGAATTTAATCGGATTAAGGCGAACTCCGACCGACTACTTTCTTCTCTCGGGGCAGGAAGCGAGTAATCGACTTCCAAGACTGATTTCACCCACCGTTTATTGCGGTGCGACTCCTACCTGCCGGTCTCTCCTCCTCCTCCTCCTCCTCCTCCTCTTCCTCCTCACACCCTTGCTGACCTTCTCGAGGGAGCCACTCAACTGTCGCCGTTGCTCGGCGAGTTATTAGTGGTATTCCGATAGCGAAGTTCTAATGTCAATGCGAAGCGATAAAGAGACGCCGCGATTGATTGCGTTTACGGCGCTATCGAGCGACGTTGTTAGTTGTGCTCGTTATTGAATTAATTCTCTCTCTCTCTCTCTCTCTCTCGCTCGCTTTCTTGCTCTCTCTCTCTTTCCTTGGCGGCGGACTTTCCGAGCATTTCGAAAAATATTCCGGGGAATATAATATATATATATATATATATATAATATTCCTTATATATATATATATATATATATAAGACAATTTTCGAGCGAGATTGAAGTTTAAGCGAATTTTGCGAGTTAAGCTGCTCGAGGTTAATTAAATGACAAGCTCTCTTATCGCTCGCGCTTGACATGGAGTAGTGAGTTTTGTTTATCTGAAAATCTTAATTATAGGTTTAACTGCCGAGCTACTTAATGTTGAGCGTCATAAAGCCGCTGTAATTGACAGTCCGTCGGTACCGTCGCGAAAAACCTATCATTAAAATTAAGGTCGAAAGCCTCGCGGGGATAACTTGCAAAGTATTTCCAAGAGAGTTTCTCACTTCTGTGTTGTGTGTTGTGTGCGCCCGGTCATTAATAACTCGTCGACTATTGTCCCATTTTTCTCACCGCACAAGCGTGCGTCGGGAAGAAAGAAAAATTAATATATTCGTTATCTTTCGCGTCGGAAGTCACATTTACGCGATCCGGCCTGTATTTGTCGGATGTTTCCATGGAATAATTGGGCCCCAGGGGGAATTTATTTTCCCCTTGTCTAAAAAGGAAGTCTAGCCAGGTGAAGATTAATACGATAGTGAAAGGTCTCATGCTTCGCATCATTGCGTGACGTCTTGTCTCGTAATTAATCATGATCGCGTTCGCGAAGAACGAGAAGGTCGCGTCTAGCCGTTTTCGCGGAAAGGCAGACGACGCTTCTTGTAGCTCTCCTTCCGGTTCTTTTGAGCGTCGCAGGCGGCGCTCGAAAGAGAGCTTTTTTCGGAGTTTCCCGTGATTCGCAGTAAATTGGACGAAAGCTTTGTAACTTGACGCCGATGTCGGGGACACCCGGCGCATTTTCTCGTCTTTGTGCGATCACGACGGATTAAATTACAATCCCATGCATTTCGAATTTCGTTAATTCGGGACGCGCGCAAACAGCTTCGTGTAAATAACCAAAGCGTGTCAGCCGTGTAATCCTTTCTTTTTTCTCTCTCCTTGTACGTGTTACACCTGACCGGAAGGTCGGGAAGAACTGTACGAAGCTGATTTCACGTAACACGAGATATACGAAATCCAACCGACAAGTGCGCAGACCTTCGTATTAAAACGCGCGGGATTGTAGCATTGGGAAATGGAGTACTTTTTAATCGCCGAGTATTGTCCGGTTTAATCTGCTGCGTTTTGTCGAAAGTTATAAAACACGAACTACCGCGGCGGAATATGTCCGACAACATGTACCGGGCGGCGCGACCATTCCCCAAAACAATCTTTGGCGATCGAATTGTAGGGTGAGTCGATTGTACGGCTCCCGGGACGACGATATTGAATTAGACGGGCCGACATGATCGACGTATCGACGTAACGTCGACGTCCGAGTGCGAAGTTCCGCGAACGCGAAGTTAACGAAACGTCTTTGAACGATGCGCCGTGTACACGCTGCAAAGTAAATTAACTCGGGCCTCGATTCTATTAGGGATCCTCGGAGATTAGCGAAATGTACACTCGATGAGTCGGTGAAATTCCTGAATTGAGAACTTTGCGAACTTCCGAACGTGAGAGCGAAGGGAGCGAGTCTGCGAAACGACCGAGTGAAGCGCAGGGAACGCTGCGCGTTATTTTCGACAATGCTTTCGCTCTGCAACGGAGACAAGCGAGACAAGATAATATAAATATTGCGAGGCAAATATTCTCTTTCCTCTTTCTCTTTGCTTGTTCGCCCCTTCCTTTCCTTTTCTCTCTCCGCCCCCCTCCCCCCATTTTTCTAAAGAGTGCCGTCGATCTGCATTGTTGTGAAT